ATTAGGGTTAGGGGTCTGCACCAGGGTAGGGTTAGGGTTAGGAAAACGAGGCATCCTGGTACGATTCTGATGGTTGGAATCTGTTTAGAATGGGCAGAAAGGATGAGCTGTGCAGAAAAAGCTACTCCGGGAAGGCTTTTTCAAAATCTCCCACTTTTCAGTGGAACTTTACCCCCATATTAGGGTTAGGGGTCTGCACCAGGGTAGGGTTAGGGTTAGGAGAACGAGGCGTCCTGGCACGATTCTGATGGTTGGAATGTGTTTAGAATGGGCAGAAAGGATGAGCTGTGCAGAAAAAGCTACTCCGGGAAGGCTTTTTCAAAATCTCCCACTTTTCAGTGGAACTTTACCCCCATATTAGGGTTAGGGGTCTGCACCAGGGTAGGGTTAGGGTTAGGAGAACCAGGCATCCTGGCACGATTCTGATGGTTGGAATGTGTTTAGAATGGGCAGAAAGGATGAGCTGTGCAGAAAAAGCTACTCCGGGAAGGCTTTTTCAAAATCTCCCACTTTTCAGTGGAATTTTACCCCCATATTAGGGTTAGGGGTGTGCACCAGGGCAGGGTTAGGGTTAGGAAAACGAGGCGTCCTGGCACGATTCTGATGGTTGGAATGTGTTTAGAATGGGCAGAAATGATTTGCAGCACAGAAAAAGCTGCTCAAGGAGGGCTTTTTCAAAATCGCCCTATTTCCAATGCTATTTCAGCCCTACATTAGGGTTAGGGGTGTGCACCAGGGTAGGGTTAGGTTTAGGAAAACAAGGTGTCCCGGCATGATTCTGATGGTTGGAATGTGTTAGAAGTGACAGAAATAATGAGCATTCTTAATGTTATACTTCATCAATTAATATAACATCTTTCTTGAAACAAATTATATGCCAAAGAGGCAGGAAAGCTTGGATGGACCTTCATTTTCTGGTTCTCACTGGGTCCCCAGAATCAGTAACAGGACCCGGCCCTTCACAGATCTGGGGTTCTGCAGACTGCTGCCTTCCCCGTTGAGTGTCCCTAATTTCCAATTTTTGCCCAGCCTTTTTGCCCAGCTTGATTTGCCCACCCTTTATGTCAGATCCTTTTCGTATTTCCGGTGTGAGGTGAATTTTAGCCTCTCAGTTCTTAATAAATTGGGACATTGTTGTTGTATGTCAAGCTGACACCTGAGAATTTGTTAGAAAGCTCCAACAAAATCATCTTGGGACCTCAAGTTAACTCATCCCTTCTTGATTTGCTTGTTCTCCCTTCACCGGTCCCAGAAAACGTGGATTTTGGGGCATGGCCACCTTTCCCCGGAGGCCTTTGGACCTAGTCCCACCCTGAAGTTCAGGCTTGGGGTTCCACAGCATTTCTGCAGAGCGTGGACCTCTCTTGCCCGCCCTTCTTCTCCCGCGTTGAATTTCACGCGTAGGGAGATGCCCCCTCGCCCGCTGCACAGCGCCGGACGCACTGGGGGCCCTTGCGGTGTTTCAAGGTGGAATAAGGAATGCCAGAACCTGACCTCACAGCTCCTCTGGGAAATGTATTTTCGGTGCCGGGGCTCTGCTGTGGAACTCAGCGGGGAAAGGGCCCGTCCGGGCACGGGCAAGGTGGCCCACGGACGATCAGCCCCGTTCCCACCGACCCCTGGCCTCGGCCAGGGCTCGCTGGCCCCGGAAGGGCAGCCAGAGCCTCGAGCGGGGCCGCGGCCCGGGCACCCCTTCCCGCCCAGGGGCCACACCTGCTCCGCCCGGGGGTCGTACTGCTTCAGCTGGGTGAGGAACTCCAGGTGCTTCTTCTCCTCCTCCAGCTGCGCCACGGACTCCTCGCTGTGCTGCAGCCGCAGCTGGGTCACGGCCAGCTCCTCCCGCAGCCACAGGTTCTCCTGGCCCAGGCGCTTCACCTGGGCCTGCAGCTTCTGCTTCTCGGCCTCCAGGGCCCCGATGTGGGAGGACAGGGAGAGCATCATCTGCGGGGGGGAGGTCTTCTCCAGCTCTGGATCTCCAGCCCCCCACCCCGTGCGCACGCACAGCACCCCCTGGCTGTCCCTGCCACCTCCGCGGGTCCCCCCCCCGCAGCGGAAGCATCCCCCCCCCCCAGCAGCTGCCCGCCTGCCGAGGTCCTCCCAGCGGCCCGAGTGTGCAGAACGCCAGGACGGCCCCGGACGGCACAGCAGCTTGGCCAACCGCCACAGGACCGGGGCAGCCGGCCCAGCCCAGCCCAGAGGGCCGCTCTGCCCCCGGCCAGCAGCAGGGTACCTGCGCCTCCGCGATGCCCAGCTCGATCCCCTCCAAGCTCTTGCAGACCAGAGCGTGCTTCTCCTCCAGGAGCTCCAGGGCCTGCAGCTCCATCGACTCAGCCTCCGCCGCCTCCCGCTCACCCAGCCGCTGCTGATCCCTCAGCAGCGCCTCCTGCAGCCGGTGCCGGACGCTCCTGTTCTCGCCCCGCAGCGCCTCCAGCCCCTTCATCGCCTGCCGTGTGTACATGATGAGGTCCTCTGCCGCCATGCTCTCCAGCTGGCTGTGGCCCAGCTCCACCGTGACGGACATGGTGGGCCCTGTCCGCGGGTGAGAAAGCGGTCCCGGGGGGCAGGCGTGTGTCTGTTCCCTTCCAACACTTCGCTTCTGCGAGGAGGAGGAGATGCCCAGGTTCAGGCCTGGCTGGAAGCCCTTCCCTTAATCCCACCACTGCGGACAGTGCAAGCACTCTGCACTTTCTCAGAGGTGCTCCTGGCTTGGACTTCAGGGTCCGTTAATCATGAAGGAATACTGACAAGAGATGGGGGAAGAACATTTCTGGGGAGTTTTGTCTTCCCCACACTGTGTTAAAAGGCAAGCCGAACTCAGAAATGTTCAGGGGAGGCCTATGTATGTATGTATGTATGTATGGAATATTTGTGGTCCTGGAGACAAGTTCAGGCAGCCACCGCCTGCAGGAGCTGCTCCGCCAGGCGCCAGGGCCGCCGTCCCGAGAGAAAGCCTCTTGGATCCCAGTCTTCCCATGGCGACCCACCAGGGGCCGCACGGCAGGGCCACAAGCAGGCTCTCCACCCCACTCGTGTCCCCGGTGCCCGACTGGGCCACGGAAGTGCCACGCAGCCGTCAGGACTGGCAGTCACCGGAGCCTTCCACCCCCGCCGGGTCAGGAAGCCCTTCCTGGACCTGCCCGCGAGAGGGCTGCTGCCGAGGTGCGGGGAACAAGGGGGCCATTCCTCGGAAAGATGTGCTGCAAGTCGTCCCACGAGTTCCACCTACGGAGGGGGGGCATGCGGACCCCCCTTCCTGCCACCTGTGAACTGGCACTGCCCGCAGCAAGCTGCTCTGCCGGGGAATTAGCAAGGGACAGCGCCTGGCGGGGGGGGCTGCGCTCTCCTCCGGCCAGTGGTGCCAGAGGCGAGGAAGGTGCCTTGGCGAAGTGGCCAGGGGGGCGGGGACGGAGCCCCTCCGGAGCCGGGGATGGCCGGGCGCCTGTCGCGGGGCTGGCCGGCCGGCCGGGGACGCAGGGCTTGCCAGGGCGTGATGCGGGAGGGGACGAGGCAGCCCGGCCCCGCCGTGCCCGGGCACATCGCAAGCTTGCTCGCCTGGGCGTGTGCCACCCCGAGCACTTACATCAGCGCTCCCCGAAGTCGGGCGCCTGCCCCCCGGAGCCACCGCTTGCCCTGCTCCCGGCAAGGCCTGGCCGGACCTGGATCCGGCCGCAGGAAGCGAGGAGCGCCCCCCCCGCACCGCTGGAAGGGCCAGAACTCCCACAATCCCCCAGCTGCCCGTGCGAGCTGGGCTGCGCGTTGGGAGGGCGCCAGAAACTGCTGCCCAGCAGAGCCGGGGTTCAAGCCCCGACCCAAGCAGGGGCCGCGCGGTTCCCACGGCTCCTTAAGCGGAGGCGAGTCGCCCGGGAACCGCCTGGCGCCGCGCCGCAGCCCCCTTCCCCCCGCGGGCGCCCGCATCCCGGGCGCGCGCCCGGAGCCGAGGGGCCG